AGAGAGAGAGAGAGAGAGAGAGAGAGAGAGAGAGAGAGAGAGAGAGAGAGAGATCAGGGCAACTTACAAGCTGTGGTCCAAGTAGTCTAACAATGGCTGTCTCCCAGTGGCCAGGCTAAGGATCTAGTAGCTGTTCAGTCCATAGAACTGGACATCTCAGCAGTCCCAAACTAGATGCTAGATTACCAGAGTTCCTAGAGAGCTGCCAGTCTTCAGTGTATGTTGGAATCCTAAATAAGTAAGTTCTAATACCAGGGAAGGTATGCCTAGGCGACAGGGCAGATAAACCTACCATGAGAGTGAGGCAAGTGGGCAAAAAGCCACCCTTTGGGTTTCTTGAACAGCATTTTCTATCCTCTTTGCAATAGAGGTTCCTAGCAGGGAGTTTGGAATTTTCTGGAGACATTTTTGGTTGTTGTACCTAGCAGGAACAGGATGATAATTACCTGCCAGTGAGTCTAGGCTGTGAGCACTGGGAAATATTCTCAATGCCCAGAGGCCTCCCAACAAGGAAATTCCTCACATGAAATATCAGTGGGGACAAAGGTCCATAAACTCTTGACTAGAATGTGCACTTCTATCCTGAGATAGATGAGTCCATTTCTTAACTGAAAAGAATATTGGTGCAGTTTTTGGAAAAGGTAAAACAAAAGTCCTTCTAAACATCTCTATTTCTTAACCTAATATATAACCTTTTCTACTCTATATCTTATGAGCTCACAAGCCAAATAGAGTAGAAGAGTGGCAGAGAACTTGTCACATACCTGACATCAGTGTGTGTCCTTCCTTGTGACACTGGCAATCAGAAGCATATTCTTAAACTATGACAACTGGCCGACAAGAACATACCAATTAAAACATAATTAGAAATATTTAGAGTGGCAAATTTCCACTTCCACAGAAACAGTAAAATTGACCGTGGAGGTGGAGTTACCAGCATGTCATGTTTTATTGGCCCATATGCCAAGTGGATTTGCTTACTCGCCGCACTCCATATGCCGGGGGGCAGGCCTTATGTATCTTTGGTGCAGCAGTAAAGTGGAGACTATCATGGGAACCACCTCTACTGCAGTAAACCACCACCAAGCTCCTCATTTTAGCTGTGACACACAGTACTTTTGAAATGTTCAGTGTTGTTTTAGCTAAATAAATCTCTTACTTAGATGAAAAGACCTTCATTTTTCCTTCTGAAAAAAAAATTTATGAGAAGGGAATCTCCAAACATATCATCTCTATGGGAAGACAAAATTAACCTCAGATTTGTACAGAAGCCCTTGGGCTATGGGCTAGAGGTAGAAGGATCCAGACAGAGACTCCAAGAAGGTGCTAAATAGACTGAAAACGCAACAGAAGGCATTTGTAAAGCTCCACACTGATAATAACATTTACCTTAGCATCAAAAACTACTTTCATGAATAATGCTGCAGTTTGAAGGACTTTAAAACTCCCTTCCTGTCTTCAAATGCCCAGTCTATTCTTTTTACCCTCAACTGCTACTATTGGGTTAATTTGGGAAGTAGACGTGATCAGAAATCTTTGAGTCTAATTAAATATATATGCTAATATAAAGAGTCCCACTCTGAGCCTTTCTAAACAGGATGGTTTGTATAATGGGAGGAATAATAGAAAATTAAATTTTAAAAAATTGCCAGGGGGCCTAGAGAGCTGGCTCAGTAGTTAAGAACACTGGCTGCTCTTACAAAGGACCCAGTTAAGTTCCCAGCACTGACATGGCAGCCTTCAACAGTCTGTCACTCCAGTTCTAGGAAATCCAGCTTGCCCTTCTGGCCTCCATGGACATCAGGCACATACACAGTGGGCTTATACACAAGCAGGCAAAACATTCACACACATAAAAATAAACATATCATTAAAAATAAAAACCTAAAAATTGTTTTTCAAATGACCTTTAATGGTAGTTGTTTCTCCCCATATTCTCTCCTTTAAACTGCTACGTCCCCTCCCCTCCCAAGTCAATTCTCCTACTCTAGTTTTTCTTTTACCCCTCCATAACACTATATTATATTTCTCCTTCCTTGAGAGATCTTCATGTCCTTTCTTGTCCCTTACTAGGTATATAACCTCTGTGGTTATTCAGATTATAGCATACACTTCCAAACCTAAAAAACTAACAGCCCAGAAAAGACAAAACATGCAATATTTGTTTTCTTGGGTCTAGGTTACCTCACTCAAGATGATTGTTTCAGCTCCATCCATATACCTGAAATTTTCATAATTTCATTTTTCTTAAGCACCAGACAATACTCCATTGCATAAATGTACTACATTTTCATTATCCACACATCAGTTGATGGAGGTCCGAGCTATTCTACATTTCTTGCTATTATAAATAGATCAGCAGTGAACATGGATGAGCAAGTATCTCTGTAGTAAGATGTAGAGTGGGTATATGATCAAGAGTGCTATAGTTGGATCTTAAGGTAGCTCTATTCTCCACTTCCTAAGGAACCGCCACACTCATTTTCATAGTGGCTCTACATGGTGTTACTCCTACTAGCAATGGATAAATGTTCCCCTGTTGTAGAATATTATTTTAAGGTGTGTTACTTTTGTTTATGTTGCATTTGTTTAACTTTGTGAAGCTGTGTTACTGTACCTGTCTAATAAGGAGCTGAATGGCCAACACCTAGGCAGGAGAAAGGATCCGTGGGGCTGGCAGACAGAGAGAATAAAGAGAATGAGAAATCTGGGAGAGAAAAAATAGCCAAAGAAAGAGGAGGACTCCAGGGGCCAGCCACCCAGCCACCTAGCCAGCCACAAAATAAGAGTTAAAATAAGATACACAGAAGTAAGGAAAGGTAAAAGCCCAGAGGCAAAAGACAGATGGGATAATTTAAGTTAAGGAAAGCTGGCAAAGAAACAAACCAAGCTAAGGAAAGGCATTTATAACTATGAATAAGTCTCCATGTGTGATATATTTGAAAACTGGGTGGTGGGCCCCCCAAAAGAGCAAAAAATAACAACAATATTCCCCTTTCCCACATCCTTGCCATCATATGCTGTCATTCATTTTATTGATCGTGGCCACCCTGACTAGAGTTAAAGGAAATCTCAAAGTAGTTTTAATTTGCTTTTCCTTAAAGGTCATGAACCTTTAAGTGTTTCTCAGTCATTTGTGTTTCATCTTTGGAGAATTTTCTTTTTAGACCCATACCCCATTTTTAAATTGGATTATTTGTTTTCTGGAAGTTTAGGGCTTTTTTTTACTTCTTTATATATTCTAGACACTAACCCTCTATTAGATATATACTTTAGTAAAGATCTTTTCTAAGCCTGTAGCCTGATGCTTTGTCTGAATGACACTATCTGCTACCACAGAGAAGCGTCTCAGTCTCATGAGGTCCCATTTATTAAGTGTTGTTCTTAGTACCTGTGCTGTCAGTGTCCTGTTCAGAAAGTCTTTCCTGTGCCGACGAGTTCGATCTTATTCCCCACTTTCTCTTCTAGCACATTCAAGTACCTGGCCTTACGTGGAGGTCCTTGATGCATCTGAATTTGAGTGCTGAGCAGGGTAATAGCCAACGAACTTTTCAGAATTCCGTTGGTCATCTTTGAAGCTCAGCCTCAGTGGGGGGATGGGGAAGGGGGATGGAGGAAAAGCTGTTTTTGTTTGTTTGTTTGTTTGTTTGTTTGTTTTTACCACTCAGAACTTTCTGCGAAAGAATATCATAACTGTAGAAAAATTTCTAGAAAAACCAGGGATGTGAGGTGTGTTTTTAGGGATGGAGGAAGAAGAAATGAAAGGAGAGGAATTAAGGAGGCTGAAGAGGACTGAGATGAAAATAGGAAGTTTCCTCCCACTACAGGCTGAGAGTTGGTTCTCAACAAAAAGAACTAAAGGTGAGGTTTAGCCCCACCCTAATAATGACAAATCCTGGGAAAAGGAACGTGTGGGCTCCCAATGTCATGCGGCTGGCAGGATTTCAAAACTGAAGCAAGTTCCACAAGGAAAGGGCTCAGGCACTATTTAATGGCATGCTTAATTAATGGTAAGCAATAAATCTATGAGAGGTTTAAGGTAAATAAGATAAGTATAGGTGGGTGGTCACTTCACACTTCCAGAGAAAAATACACTGGACACAGTTTGCTCTAACTACAATCAATTCCTTTAAAAATAAGCGAGTTTGTGTATGGGTCATGAAATTGGAAAAAAAAGATTACAAAGGAGGGAAAAGATGTCTTAAGAGAGAAGAGGGAAAATACACAAACAGAGAATAATAGAATATAAGTGACAGAAAAGCAGAGGAGGAGCTGAGGGCAGGGGGAGAGGAAAGGCAGCCTGAGAAGGCAGTGGAGAAGATCAAAAACAAAAAATGTGTGGAAATGTCAAAGTAAAAACCTGTTCTTTTCTATGACAAATTAAAAACCTAATAAAAAAGAGTAAATCCAAACCTATTGAAAATCATAATAGCAGGTATTTAAATTATACATAACATACACATATAATTTAGAAAGACAGTAAAAGAATTTACTCATGTGAGTAAAGTGTTTTATAAAATGTTTAATTAATGCAAATTTTCAGAAATATATGTATGTATGAACATGTGTGTGTGTGTGTGTGTGTGTGTGTGTGTGTGTGTGTCCTCTTACTGATTGCTTTAGCAGAGTTATTTATAAGATTTCAGTATCAAAGCTGACTTATCGGATGACCCAGGGAGAAAGCAGTATTTTTAAAATCAAGAGGTTTTTGTTGCTATTGTTTGTTTTGCTTTTGAGACAGCAAGTATTATCTTTCTAATATAAATTGATTTCCTTTACTTTCCCCTCAATAACGGCTAAATTGTGCTACCTCCCTCCACTTAACATATTGAAACTTTAACTTCCAGTGTCTGAGAATGTGACTATTACCTAGAGATCTGGAGATGTGGTTTTTTAAAAGGTAATTAGGTAATGCAGATTGAATAGAATGTGTCTTAGGCCAATTTTGCAGATATCATTATCAGTTCAGGACACAGACATCACCCGAAGGGAAGATGATGGGAAACAGAAGGAGAAGGCAGGCAGCTACAGCCAAGGAGAAAAGTCTGACAATACTAGGAGTCCTGCCCAAACCTATATCTCAGTCTTTTACCTCTAGAACTGTAAGATTCCATTGCATAAGTTAGTGTATGATGCTAGGTAATGGCAGTCCAAGGAATCAAATGTACAGATGAAGAACCATTTCTGACTCTATGGCAAGACTTAGAATGGAATGAACCTGAGAACCCATGTTGGTAAAAACCAAGAAGCAGACTGAGGTCAGTCAACAACTTCATCCTTGTTTTCTCGTTACTTGTATGTGTTTGCTGCCTTTCCTTCCCTTGTGGAAATGAGGAATATCAACATATAAGAAAAAAGCTTTTTAAGGATGGAGGATGACACTTTGTTGTTTTTCACTTTGCATGCACAGACACTAGAAGATTGTCCATATTCCAGTGGATGGACCATACAGAAAGGGCACTCCAAATTCAACTCCATGAGGTATAAATCAAAAACAACACCACAAAGTTGGGAGAGCACACCCATTTGTGGAGGCATTTTGGAATTTGAAGGGAAAACAAGCATGGGTATTTTTGAGTTTCATACTGTATATAGATTTGAAAGTCTCAAGGACAAAGAAAAAATAATACTAAACAAAATCACAAAATAAAAGAAAGAAGAAAAGCTGTCTGAGAGACACAGACCAGGAGGTAGCTGAATGAGGAAAGATTGGTTTCAAGGAGGGAGGCCCCAGCCCATGAGACACAACACTCACTAAAAGCAGAACAAGAACAAAATCAGATAAACTCAAACAGCAATCAGCTTGTGGTTATTTCCAACACCCAAGAAGGAGATTGACTTTTTAAATTTCAAAGCAAGCAATATGCAAGCACAGAGGAAAGAACCAAGTTAAATACAGAGCCCCTCCTCTTTATACTAGATAAATGTGAAACATTATTGCATTGATGACAGTATTTTCTGGAGAGAACAAATATGTTTGACTGTGAAATTATTATTTGTTTCTGAGTTTGGGTGTGATTTATTAACTTTTCTCAGACTTATAAACATACTAAAAAGATAATGTTGTGAGACTATCTTCCAAACAAATTTACCACTTTGATAAAGCAAAACCATGTTTCTTTACACTTAAAATGAGACAATTTAGCCTCAAAAGTCCATTAACCAATACCTGGCTGGCTTATTGGCATTGATATGGAAGAGCACAATGATATAACAATATGGTTTTCCATAGAAATACAATAATATTTATTATGCTAGATATAAGCTATCACTGTAATTTTACACACACAGCCTACTTAATCCTCAGCATTGCTCTTGAAGTGTTGTTTGGCTGTTCTCAAAATGAGGAAGTTGGGATCTTGAGATGATAAGTAGCCTCTTTCTTCACAGTTAGGACAAGATGAAATGATGTTATCTTTTGAGGTGCACTCAGAAGCCATGTAGAGATTGAAGAATAAGACAGGGAATTTGAGGTTGCTTGTTGGGGCCAGGAAAATAACTTGTCAAAGAAAAATGACTAAAAAGACCCAAGGATGTCAGGGACTAGAAAGTTAAGAAGAAGCCAGGCAGTGGTGGTGCATGCCTTTAATCCTAGCACGCAGGAGGCAAAGTTCAAGGCCAGCCTGGTCTACAGAGTGAGTTCCAGGACAGGATCCAAAGCTACACAGAGAAACCATGTCTCAAAAAAAAAAAAAAGTAAGAAAATAACGTTTTTTCATGTAAAGGGGAATTTTGTGAATTTATTTATCTGGCAGTGAAAAAATTCATAAAAGGGAAAAAAGATGTAGAAATATCAGGCACATAGAAACCTAGGAGAGACAATATGAGAAAGAATGAGATAAATCTATTTCACTACCACAATGTCTTTGTGATACCCTCAGCTCCAGCAAGTTATGGGAGACCCAACATTCACTGCAGGAGAGTTTCTGGAATGATCTGTAGCTTGAATAGCTAAAATACACATATTTTTGTGGCCTTGGGAATGTAAGAATTCTAACTAAAGCTGTGTCATAGATCAAGATCTCCATTTCTGTTCTTAAATTTATCACTTCATCAGACTGATTGTGGCAGGAACACTGAACAGACAGATTCTGGGGATATGAGGCCACTGTGTGGGCCAGCTGTGACATAAAGACTATTCAATGGCACCACTGAATGGTGGATCACAGTTCCTCTTTTTTTTTTTTTTTTCCTGCTTCTTCCTGCACTGCAAACCAGACCTGTATCACTCTGGTGTACCTCATTGCCTTCTCCCTGCTTCTTTTCAACCATGGTCCTTACTGAAATCCTTGTGTTTTCCAGCTGCAGCTCAGAGGACCCACAGCTATTTTTCACTAATGATTTTCAAATGTGTAAGGATGTCTGCTCATTAAGCACATGCTAACAGTGTTACTGAATCCATTAGCAATTTTCACATTTGTATTCCCATCTCAAGTACCTTCACTTCTTTTTAACTGCTTTGCTCCACATGTCCAGCATTTTTCATCAAGATTATTGATTGTTCCATGAATCTCCCAAAATGTTTTCTTGCTCCTGTCTTATGAATGCTCTACATAGTGGCCAGAGAATGTGTTCTGAGTAGGTATCTTTAATCTAACAATACTCCCTGAATCTAGAAGTGAGTAGATGTGGTGGGTTGGATAGGATCATTAGGCAATGTCATCCCATCTCCATGGACCTTGGTGTCTTCACTTCTAGACATCCTCTTCCTTTCTCTGTTCCTGGATGAAATCCCAGGCAGGTCCTAGAGTGCTCTGGGCACCCTAGTAGATTTTTGTTTGTTTGTTTGTTATGATTCTGTGACTTGGCATGTGAAAACCTTGGCCTTTACAATAGTACACTGGCCAGTTGTGCTATATCTGGACTACTTTCCTATCAATCCAGCATGGCTACTCCTACCTGGAAGTTCTCACCAGACGGGTTCCATCCTATTCTGGGTCTTTGCCCCAGGCTGCTCTCCTAATCTTCAAGTCTCACCACGGCATTTTCCGAGGAAAGGCTCTTTTCTACTTTCCACTCTAACTTTTAACGAATGATAAATCTGTAGTTATTTCTGTAAAGTGTTGGCATGCTTAATGTTTTCTTCTTCCACTGTGTTATAATCTTCATGGAAGCAGAGGCTTTGGTGTCATAATCTCATGCCTGGTTCCCTGACAGTAACTAAATATTTGCTTTGCTTAGTGAATACAAACAAAGTATTAATGGATATAAAAAGAAAATAGCTATGACGGAAGTTTAAGGGATGTTAAACAGAAATCAGTAAAACAAAAATTGTTCGGATCACCTGTTTGAGTTTTCTTAAGTTGTGATATTGAGACGAGAGATGGGTGTTCAAGTTACCTCTCCCCAGAGAATAGAGATTTGGAGGCAGGACCTGGCAAGGCAGAGATTGAAGCTGAATTGGAACCTGCCTATTTTTCAGTCAGTTCTTGACTTTATAACGAACCTTCTCTTTAGAAGAAAACAGAAGCCGGGTGGTGGTGGCGCACGCCTTTAATCCCAGCACTCGGGAGGCAGAGCCAGGAGGATCTCTGTGAGTTCGAGGCCAGCCTGGGCTACAGAGTGAGTTCCAGGAAAGGCCCAAAGCTACACGGAGAAACCATGTCTCAAAAAACAAAACAAACAAACAAAACAAAAACTGAGAAAGGGGTGGTGTTTTTGTACTCATTCTGGGAAGCAGAAAACAAAGACTGGTAAAGTCAGTAAAGAACTTGCAGTACAGGCCTGAGGACATGAGTTTGATATCCAAAATCCAACTAAAGAGCCGGGTATGATGGTGTGTAATTGCGGTCCAGTGTTGCCGATGAGTCATCCTAACCAAATTAGCAAGCTTTAGGCCAAACAAGAAAGCTCAAACAGAA